TATGCTAGCATTTGCAAAATGTAGACCAAGCAACAAATAAAAAGTGACAGCAATGGGAAAAAAATAATGCATGGAAGATTAAAAATCCTGCTGCAAAAACTGTCCAAAAGCTCTTTCAATAATGATGTGAACATCCTGATAGGTGTTTTATTTTTTTTAACATGTTATTGCACCAACCTACCTAGCATATGCACTATTAAAAAATGTTGGAACACAAGGGAAAAAAAGTCACATTTTATTTAACAAGGATTGGCCAAATATGGATACATACAAAGAGTACAGTCTAGAAAGATCTTCACACAGAAAAAACTGCACTTTTATAGATGTATTTGAACTGAGGTACTGTACAGAACACACAGGCACCATAGTTGAAGTCACCGTAGTTACAGAGTAAAACATTGGACATACAAAGTTTCTGGTGTACTAAAAGCACTGAGAGTGCAAATGGAACAGTATTAAAGCCACTGGAGCCTACCATATGTGACAACACCACATTCTCTGCAATCAAATGGGGACTCATATTAACAATGCCAGGAACAGAAGGCCTGTTCCAACTAGGAAACAGGTAAAGCACTAATTAGTCTCATGTACAGTGGATAAGAAACTTGCTTATTAAACATGAATGTCTGATAGACTAAATGTGACTCAGGCGAAATAGAACTCCTTTTTATTAGTACACATTCTACGCAGTGCTACTATAGGCTTGGTTATAGAAAAGCATCACTATCAGATTGCAATGTTAACACAGATGGTCAAGGTGTATTTTCCCCTCTTTCAGTCCCTTGCTGTTACCTGCTCAATAGAACAAATAATTAAAGTATATCTCTTAGTGTAAAAGAAGGAATTATACGGTTAGTATACTCCTCTTAAATTAGTAGCAGACAAATGGGCATAGGTAATATTCTAGCTTCAGCAGAAGGGACATTTAAATGGAGCTTTTCATCCCATGTTTGTACTGCTAATCACAATTGGTTGTGTGAAAATGGTGTGATGACATGTATTTCCCACCACTGAGCATGCAAGTACCACAATGACAAAGGGGGAGATTTACTAAAACTGGAACACTCAGAATCACAGCGAGTGAGCCAATGAGGAAAAGAGAGGGGTGGGGCCAAAGAGGGGTGGGGCCAAGCCACGGCTCAGTATGTGAATGGACACACAGAGCAGTAGTTCAGGAGTGAGCCTGCTTGGGTGCCCCCATAGCAAGCTGCTTGCTCTGGGGGCACTCAGTAAGAGGGAGGGGCCAGGAGTGTCGGTGGGGGACCCGAGAAAAGTAGGATCTGGGCTGCTATGTGCAATACCACTGCACAGAGCAGGTAAGTATAACATTTTTTTTTTATTATTTCCTTTACCACTTTAAGCTTTTACAGTAAAATCTGGAAGCCGACTGGTTTCTATGCAGAGCTGCACCAGATTTTTTGCACTCTCCGGTTTTGGTAAATCCCCACCAAGTTGTCTGTGAACTTGAACTGTCCTAATAGGACAGCCAAGGCCTACTGAAGAGAGACAAAAAGACACACCATTCATAAGTGAGTGGATGAGCAGTGTGGTTTCACAAAGCCCTCCTTGCCACCCTAGGAAAACCATGCCATTTTTTGAAAGCCATGTCTCTACAGCTGCAAACAGCTGCATTGTCATATTATGCATATGAGGCAGCATAGGAAGTGGTATTCAAATAAGAGGAATGGGCCCTTGTTAGTACTTTGCTACCAGATCTCAGCATCAATGTAGAAAGAGAAGCCCTTAAACATTAGTATACCTACCAATTTTGGCAACTCAATTACATCATCAATGTAAAAGCAGAAGTATGAAAATATAAAACATAGAAACAGTGTGAAAACCACTGTAGAAAAGTACAACACAAAACCAGTTTTCCTGAAAGTAAAGCTACTTATGATTCAGATCTGTAGCCCAGAATCTGCATTCTGTGAGATGACCCTCAGTGATCATTCGGTGTTCAGGGGATACTATCAGGTTCAATATCCTGGTGGTTTTTCATAGGAGCCCCCCGTGAGAAGATCTATACACGTGGATTCCCAGACATGCCCCCTTGTGGGGTCTATGATAAAGTAAAGACGTATTCTCACTTCTGTTTTCCAGAACACAAAATAAATGAAAAATCCAGCATTGACAACCCAGACAGTGCTTATTTATGCTAAACTTTTATGGGCCTCTTTGGTTGGTTTTATGACCAGGACTGCTAAACTCAGACCATCTGGAAGCTTACAGCCATTACTACATCATTCTAGTTAGCACCAATAGGTCATTTAGATGACATTAGTATAATGTAAAACCTTTATGATGATCAGTACCATTCAAGTACGATTTTCCCTTTTTTTCTGTGCCACCAATTTGCAAACTTGCAACTAGAACTAGTCAAACCCATTAATATCTGCACAGCTCGTCAGTATAATGAACCGTAAGTGCTGGTTCACATATATGCGGATAGGATGTGGTTTGAATCGCATCCAATCCGCATGATATGTGAAAGAAATTGCTCCCTATGGTGCCTGTTCACATATGTCCGGTGCACTGGTGGTGCGGATTCAGTGTGGTTTTGAAAAAAAGAGTCATGTATGATTTCTGAGCCATGCCTTCAGGTTCAGGTGTAGATTACAGGCTACTGACTTCTATGGGAGCCGTTTCTAAACCACATGTGTGAACAGGATTAAGATCCTGAGCTAATCCTGTCCTGAAGTTGATGAAAACCTGACATGAACCAATGAACAACTACTGTATCAATTAGCTGTGGAACCTGAGCTTCAATCCACATCACACATGTGTGAACCAGCTCTAAGAATATTGTCTCTTTATAGTGTATTCCCTGTATTTTAACCACCCCCCCCCACCACAACCGCTTCTTCTTAAGCTGTAAATGCAGAAGAGGGGGTGTACATACTGCCAATGGCCGCTGCACATGGGCAAAGCTGGGTTCTCAAATGAGAAGATCTCACCCTCTGTTCAAAAGAAGAGGAGAAATAACAGTTTTGGGTTGTACTTTGAAAATATGTAATGGATCTGAACAGAGAACATTAAAGAACATCACTAAGAATTTATTAGTGAGGTAAGCCTGGTCCTCAAGCACTTTGACACAGTTGTCAAGTTTCTAGTGTTCTTCTCAAGCATCCAATACACCATGCAGCTAGTTTGAAGTGCAGGAAAACAGGTCTCTTATGTACAATAACAGTGATTTTATAGAACTCAATGTAACAGGATCACAATAGAATAAGTTATGCACACAAAGTATACTTGCACCACTCTACCAATAAGCTCTTAGTGGTGTGGACATTTAGGAAATACATGTTGCAATAAGTCAATGAACAGGCATCCAACTCCATTTTTAGATATTTGTTAGCACAATGCAAACAGTGTGACTGCATAGAATACAGAGCAGTTCTAGCTAATATTAATATCCAAAAAAGCAAGATTTTTCTTGTCCCTTGATAGTGGCTAATGGATGATTTGACACAGAACATTCAATTAGTACAGAGCATACCAAACTGCTTCAAAAACAGAATGTACCCCTGTATGTAAGTCCAATAGTCTGAAGTCTGCATATAGCATTTGTGTTACCTCTGTAATCGATGGCCATATTTAGACAGATGGCCAATGAGCCACGAAACATCTGCCCATCTAGGACCTGTGTTCCATTAGGACCCAGCATCTTCTTAGTTGCATGCATTCATGCTTGAACGGTTTGCTTCCTTTTCTCCACAAAAAGGGTATGCCTAGGTATACGTTACAAACACAATTTTTCAATATGTAGGAACATCTCTGTGTGGTAAAGATCACTTCTGACAATTGCAAGTGTTTGTTACTGCAATTTTTCATGCTCCAGTTTTTACTAGAGATGCTCAGATTAGATGCATATTTTTGGGGTGACTTTGTATGGGCAGACAACTATCAGTGATAAAGAAATCCATCTCACGTGTAAGTTCACTGAAAAGGTTTGCTCTTCAAAACTAGTATGTGACAAGTAAAATGTGAACCTGACTGAGTTCCCTAGAAGTTCTGAAACCACTGTTCAGTAGTGCTTTGATAAAATTTGTACTTCTACCAGTGTGAAAGATGAATAAAAAGAGCACCAATCCTATGGCGACAAAGCTTCAATTACAACCCGAAGGAAGAATCCTATTACAGGGAGTTGCTGTTATTGACTTCAGATGACCAGTGTATTACATTCACCAAAAAAAACAAAAATATGCTACCTGCAATCAAATACAAAGTATGTCTAAAAAGATGTATATTTTAAACAGCAAAATTATACAATAATACATCAACCCTACAGAATGTAATGGGTTAGAAACAGGAAAGAGGTTACTATCCCCTTACATTCCGTATGCTTGATGTTTTATATTACATCCTTTTGCTGTTCAAATGTACATCTATTTAGACATACTTCATACTTGAATTAGATTGCAGGTGGCCTATTGCCCTTTGTGGTTTGTTTTCTTGGTGTTTGCTTTGAAAAAATAAGCCTTAATCTGTGGGAGAACATTATACTTTATATCCACTAGGGTCATTCTATTTGAACAGTAGCAAAAGGTAAGTGGTACTGATGCACTTCGTTACCAAACTCATGTTTTTTTTTTTTTCATTTTTTTTGGGGGGGGGGGGGGGGGGGGGAAGACTTATATTAACAAGCTCATTTTTTTCTTTACTTTTCTTTGCACCCATTTTTGTCAAACTCATTCTTTGTAGAAAGCAATTTTGACAACAAAGCATAAAAGAAACCATACTTCACGTCGCACCATCTTTAACTAACAACCCCAAATCTCTTTACCAAGAGAAAAATACACCCTTAAGAAGCTACATATACAAATTATTCACTTCATTTTACATACAGGCAAACAATCTTTTCATTAATGGATGAGTCCATGTTGATATTGAAGTCGGCATTAGTTTGCTGCAAAGAAAATTCATGCAGAACTGCATTTGAACGGAACTGTTGAAGCCCCACAAGAAAATGGATTCCAATTGCACTGTCATTTTGTTTGCAGTTACACTTTAGAGAGTAGTCCTGACTCGGGGGCACTTGCTTTGATAAGGTTTTGGATTTCCTTAAATTTAGGATGGTCCTTATCCGCTACCAGCTGCAGAAGTACAGCTTCGCTTGTGGTGATTATAATTCCATTTCTTGCCAGGCGCTGCATATAAAGCACATTAAAAATCAATGAAGCACTTATTACATATGAAAGGAAAACCACAATCTGTCTAATTATTTTTACTTATACATGAAAGAGACCAGCTAATAGAAATCACATGCTTTAAAGGTCTTTAATCTGTATTTATTTTGGTACAAGGAGCAGCAGTAATAGTTGTGCACTGGTGATCCTCTAATCTCCAGAAAATCAACCATTAGACCTTTAGCTGGGCATACATTAGTAAAATTTTGTTCCAGCATTTTTGGTTATAAGAACATTGTAATAACATTCCTTTTTCTAATCCTGTGGGGTAAAAAAATTTACATTTTTGAAGACCATAACGAGAAAATTTGAAGGAGCAAGATGGAAATTTTTTCTTGAGTGAACATTCTTCTAAGTGTATGTAGTTTTCATTCAGAAAATTACCTTCACTTCAAATTTAAAAGTTACAAGCAAACTAAATTTTGAACAATTGTCAAGTCATCAAACGTCCTGAGAATTTTAATAAAAAAATCTACTAGTGTATATCCAGCTTTACACTCACTGCAGTCTGACACACTAGTAATGCTTTTAGGAGCCAGAGATCAGGTCATCTTAACATATGCTAGGCCTATGAGCAGTTAATTTATATTATTAAAAGGAAGCAGAGACCCTATATAAAAAAAAAAAAAAAAAAAAAAAAACAAAGAAAAAAAAAAAACAAAGAAAAAAAAAAAAAAAAAAAAAACCCCACAATATCAAAAATATCAAATACACAACCACATACACACTTTTTAAAATTGTATTTTTTCCCCCACACAAAAATGTATGCATGATATAGAATGAAGCCTATCCCTGCATAGAGATATTATTTGATGAATGCAATAGATCACTGGATAAGAATTTATTTCACTTTGAATCTGGAGAACATCCTAAAAATCATATGCAGCAATAGACACGAGTGTGCATTGAGAATAAATAACCTATATTGATGTGTGTACAATCACATGATGAGATAGCCATTTGTATATAATCATCTGACACTATTAATGTATAGTGGTGTATCAGTTTTTCCTTAGAGGACAGCCTCTCAAAGCAGTCTCCCATCAATTGTACTGTATATGAAGTGGATTAAATCACAGAGTCATAAAAAAGCCCAGGAAGGACACTTCAGGCTCTGGAGAGTAGTAAGCCATATCAGAACCAGTAGGTCAAGCCATATCAGAACCAGTAAAACCAGGTTGTGTGATTTATTTTTCAAGCGCATGAGCTCATTCCATAGCAAATAGAAGGCATTCCAATGTATGCAATGCAGATCCTCCACCTAACCTCCCAAGGGTTTGCGCTCACCTCATGAATGTGCACTCACTTTGTATTGAAACATGCAAGCATTAAATTAAAAGTACCAAGTCACCACCTCCCCTTACGCTCTGGTTGTGTCTGCAGTGAAACACCGCTCAGAAATCAGCAGAAGCTAGCACCCTGCTGTACAACTCTCACCCAGATTGTGAAGCCCCAACCCGCGCGTTTCGTCACCATAATATCAGGTTCTGTTTGTTGACTGCGCAAATTAATTTTCACTTGTGTTATTCTGAAGAGGATTTTGTTATTCACATATGTCAGCTTTCTCAAGCAAGCTGGTTTTGCCTTGGTTTGGTAATTTGTATAGATTTTTTCAAGTTTTGATTCACATTGAAGAAACACCCAAAGCTCTTGAGTATTTGGTAATTACAGTCAAAGTATTATTCACAGTAGGAAGTAAGCGCCTTTTTTTTTTTTTTTTGCTTTTAAAAAGGGTTGTTTCAGACAGGCAATCCAATCAGGTTCGTCTGTCAGTTTTTCAGGCAGAACTGATTGGAAGGTCCATTCTTTTCTATGGACTGACAGGTGTAAAACAGACTTGGGTCAGTTTACACCCAAATATCTCCGAGTCCAATCATGCCCGCTAAAAATAAAAGAAATGAAGGGGAACTGTGTCCTCTTCGGTTTGGGCGGACTGAATTGGAGACAGCCGGGTGTAAATAGCAATGCACGGATCTTCCCTGTTAAGAACCGTACAGGGGACCTGCACACAGCATGTTACAACATATTTACCCCACATTTATATTTTCACAATAGGTGCACTTTCAAGACAAAACCTGTACGGTGAACATTAACAATTAATTGCACTTTTGGACTTTTGTGTTTTGTTCAAACTTCAGTGGATTGCATTTATTTATGCACTGTAACTTTAGCACAGATTGTTTATCCACTTCTTGACGGCGCTATAGCAGAATGACAGCTACAGCGTGGTCATCAAGTACTGGGAGGGTGTCATATGATGTCCTCCCAAAACGCACCCCCTGCATGCCCTCAGCGCTCTGATCGATGTGTCCTTTCGACACAGCTGGTCACCTGACACGGTAAAAAGCCAATCACAGCGGCTGTGTCCAGTCACAGCTGATCACCATGTAAATACACTTGCAGGTTATTGGCAGTACTTTCCTCACACTGTGAGTGTGAGGAAAGTACTGCCAATAACCTGCAACTGTGAGAGGATTAATTTACACTGATAATCAGGGCACTGATCATCAGTGCCCTGATTATTAATGCAGCCCCAAAAGTGCCCATCAGTGCCGCCAGTCAGTGCAACATATCAGTGCAGTCTCATCAGTGCCTCATCAATGCCCACCAGTGCCACCTCATCAAGCCTCATCAACACAGTGAAGGAGAAAAATTACCTGTTTGCAAAATTTTATATTACAAAGAAAAAAACTTATTTTTTTTTAAAATTTAAGTTTTTTTTTCATTCATAGTGCAAAAATTAAAACTCAGTGGTGATTAAATACCACCAACAAAGCTCCATTTGCGTGAAACAAATGATAAAAATGTCATATGGGCGCAGTGTTTCATGACCGTACAATTGTCATAAAAAGTTTGACAGCACTGAAAGCTGAAAATTTGCCTGGGCAGGAAGGAGGTAAATGTGCCTAGTAGGCAAGTGGTTGTAAACCCTTGCCTATACCCAGTGAAGTGACTGGGCTCAGGTGATACACAGAGATGAAACAAATCCTCCTACATAAGTTATACCTGTTTATTTGCAGCCCTTTGTCCTTATCCTTGTAAAACTCAGAGATGAAAACTATTTCTCACAGACTCACAAAGCATGGGGTGAAGAGCTGCAGTTACACACTGTACAAGAGATCTGAGAGCCGATTGGCGGAAAGGGCCACACTGCCTTCACACAGCACACTGGAACAGAGCTGAGACTTTAAGTGCCATATTAATTCTAAATACGATTTACTGATCAACTATTGTTCAATGGCCCTGTTAAATAAAAGCCATTCGATCAGTACCATAGTCAATAAGCTGCAATACTGATCAGTGTATTCTGAGGACAGGGAAGTCTCCCTGTTGTCAGAATATAATAGCGCCGTGGGAAGAATTCCCCCATCTACCTCAAATGTTTGGATGGGGTAATTGGTCAGTCCTTCAATGAGCAAGTAAACTGTTTTTAGCTGAACTTACAAATGGAAAATTTGATAAGCTGCCTGTTCCTTTAGCAGTTTGGTATGGCATTTATCAACACATCGCCATAGTAAATTAGAACACAGCGGCAAAGTAAAACCTTTAACTCAGCACCGCATAGAACAACATTTAGTTGAAGTCCAGGGATGTTCAACTGGTATAATGAGTAAGTTTTGTGTGATTCTCTCTGAGTGCACAGCAAATGATGCATGGATTGTGCCTGCGGTGACTGCCTTTCAAAACTGTATAGGTCAGCAGAGCCCTTAGCGTGAAAATTCAATTTGCCCTTATGCTACAATTATGTAATGGATCAGCACACACTAGCTGGGGGCACAGAAATCAAGGTCTTACTGCAATTTAGCCAGGTCATTCAGTGCTCAAATCTGCCTTCCTACTTCACTCACTCTCAATTACCTAGCTGCCATTCATCAGATAACAAATCAAGGCCAATCAAATGCACATGACAATGTGTTCCAAACATCAGCTCTGCATAGATCAGATCAAGAGCCTAATGAAGAACTCCTGAATAAACAAGCTCTTTAAAATTCTAAAGACAGAGTTGTTTAAGCCTTGAAAAATGGGCTAAAAACCTCTCTTTCTGAAACTAGAAGGGTTCCAAATAGGGATGCACCTGTATATCGGCGGCTGAAACAGATCGACCGAAAATAGTGTTACTGGCATTTTGCAGATAGGAAAAAAGGTGCAGATAATGGTGCCTAGAATGGCTTGTGTTTTCGCTATAAAAAGAAATGTGTCAAGGCAACTCACTTGAAAAGTCATGTCCCATAGACTTTCATGCACAGTGGAGTGCCATAGACTTTCATGCAAAAAAGCCCGATGGTATCTTCATTGCAAAATCGTGTCCCATAGACTTTAATGAAAAACCCCATCTCCATAAACTTCAATGCAAAAATTGTATCCCCATAATGACTTCATTGCAAAATTGCGGCCCATAGACTTCATTGCAAAATTGCGGCCCATAGACTTTAAAGCAAAATGTTGTCCCCATAAACTCAATGCAAAAATGCCCCCTAGTGATTTCAATGCAAAAATGCCCCCCTAAGGACTTCAATGCAAACTCGTGTCTTAGACTTTAATGCAAAAATGTGGCGGCCATCTTTGCGAGTGATTGTTTTTATGCTCCACGTGGATGCTTTGTATTTTTATTGAAAAAAAAAACTACACTATATACCACGGTCTCTGGGCTCTGGTATTTGAGCTCTTTTCAGGATGTGCCACATCTGGATTGATCGATGTATGGGCGCGGAGAGATCCATCTTAAGGAATGTCCGTATAGAGCCCAGCCACAGTGGATATTATCTGGCCATATACCTACTTCCTGCAGTGGAAAGGTTACATCTCTTGGAGGGATTTCTGTAGAGAGCCTGTTTATTTCTTGCTTCTGGTGAGTGCATAGTGTTGGAGGATTGTCACAGATGTCACCTTATGCCGTTGATCACCATTGATTCACACAATATTGTTGGACATTGCACCTTTCTTTAGACTTTATTTATAAA